GAAAGAATATTTGTAATAAAATTGTCAGTTTTGACAATATTTTGATTTTCATCCGTCAGTTCTTTGTATAATTGATTCAATAATTTTAGCAAAATGTGGTCCACTTTATTGTCAGACAGATATTGTTTTAAGAGATCATCATTTAATTCAATGTCCGGTTTATGATCTTTACATTCAATCATTTGTTTGATTTGATCGACAAGTGTTGTGCAAACCTTAACATATTCTTTGACACTATTCTTAACGCATTCCTCGACAGCCATATTATCTTCATTGGCCACGAATTGATAGGACTCTAGTTTTAAGTCTTGAACATTGGTCTTGCGGGGCATCGGAAGGCCCATCAAGTCCTCCAATTCGACGCCTTTGGTGACAATCATTCGGGAATTGATGTCCACATGAAATGGGAGAACGGATTTGTAAATATGAAACTCTTTGCTAAACAATTCTTCGATAACATCGATGTTTTGTGAGTCCATAACGCTCTCCATAATCACGTCGTCTTTGAGTTTCATGTTGTCGTCCATCACGTGTTCGTACGTCTCGTCACTCAACAGATCGATGTCTCTCTGTTCGGTCACTCTATGCTCTCTCACGCCTTCGTATAGCGCTTTGGGATCGCATCGCAACGCCTTTATCATCACCGGAACCATCATCTTCTTGAAGGGCTGTCCCAATGCCATCGTTTGCAACAACGAGTCCAAGAATGTGGTCATATTTCCGTCCCATTCGATCTCTCCCTCCAGTGTTTTGAAGTTTTTCGACCGAATGGACACCAGTTTACGAAACTTTGGTCCGTAATCATAGCCAAGAATTTTCAGGTCTTTATAGATGTCTTTGGCTTTGATTTCAACCTCGAAGTCATTCTTATTGTTATCGATTAACAAGTGCTGAACATTTAGACAATACTCATCTGTAGTCCGGATTTTGCCCACACATGAGATGTGATTGCTTTCATAGATTGCAAACTCGCCTAAAGTTTGATGGTTTAAAGTGAGTACAGTTACGCAACTCATACATCATATACAATGTAAGTACACTTCAATACCTGAATGTTCCTGATATTTGACTTTGATTCGTGTTTCCTCGGAATCGGACAGAAAGATGGCTCGTCTGAACTGAACGTCTTCAAAGATAACTGGAATCTGATTCCAAATGCGGCCATAAGTGGCGGCCATTCGTTTCCAGGCGAGCATCAGATAACCGGTCGCCGGGTATAACACATTGCCGTCGATCACGTGTTCGGGCAAAAAGGACTTCAGGGCTCGACTCATGTAAATCACTTCATTCAAGTCGGAAGCCGTCGACCGGAAGTGAAAGTCCGGATATTTTTTAACGAAATACGAGTCCTTGTGATCCCACCGAATCAAAGAACTTAATGATTGGGTATTCCTGGCGACCGGCCATTGGACTGAAGGGTACAACTTCTCAATCACAGGATTGAGCCCTAATTCATATAATCTTGCGATTGAAGCCAAAAACATATCTAAATTTGTGTCGTTTGAATCCTTCTTAATAAGCGACACATAAGTACCCGATTCTAGTGTTTCCTTCACTACTTTGCCGAACAGCCCGTGCGGTCCGATCTCAAGGATGAGGGCATCCGATGGCAAATGTTTGAATTTGTTGTAGAAATAGACGGGAGATATGAGATTATGGACGAAATACTCGGCCGACGCGGTCTTCAGTTCATCTCTGGGTTCCAATTCTATAACTGCGGTTGAGATCCATTTCTTAGACCGTGGCTTAGGATTGGGAACAACTTTCTTGAGTTCTTCCGTTAGTTTCTTTGCGGATGTAATGAGATATTCGCTATGATATGGGATATCATTGCTTTGGAGTTCGCGAACAAAAATTCCCTTTTTGGTCAAGTCTTCAACCATTTGTTTCATTTCATTGTATAAACCTTTTAAATAAAAGAATAATTATAATAAATATAACTTTATAATAATTATTATGGACATTACCCGACAGCACAACTGTGTCCAATCCATTATTACAGACGGGATTCACTCCAATCGGACATAATTTTTTCGCTTCAGTCCACGAGAGACCCGCGACAGCCATTAGTCCTTTCGGTAACTTTTTATCACTTTCGGTCACAACTCCTCTATAATATGCCATCAAAAGTGCTTCTCGTGTGTCAAGACATCCGTCCGCATACGCGGCCGCTATTTCGCCGAAAGAGTGACCAATAATACCGTCGGGAGTAATACCGAGAGCGAGGATAACATCACATAATGCTATCTCTATAGCAGTTGTGGCACAGAATTTGTTCGTCATATTAGACATTGAATTCTTGTCATCAGATAATAAGAGATGTTTTAAGTCTATGTCGTGGGGTTTGAGTACTTCATGGCATTTATCGATCTTATCGGCGAATATCTTGATTGGCATCAAAGCCTTAGCCATTCCAACCCATTGTCCGCCCAAACCGGGAAATAGAAACCAAACCGGTCTTAATCTTTGTGTAAAGACTGATGACTGCCTTCTATACTGGTATTGATTATTATTGATTTGTTTTATGAACATTGAGCCTAAATATAATAAATAGTTGTGGAAATTGTCAAATGAATGTGAGATTCAATAATAATGAGAAGTCAAACCTCTGTACGGAAACCCATTTGAATTAAGTCGAGGACTGACTCGCATTGTTTCGGCCAAAAGTGAGAGGAAATCTCGAGTTATTTTATCGGCATTTTTCTCAATGAAATTGAAATATTCATTCAACGCCTCTTCGGTTCGGCAACAGATGTTCACAATTCTCGGGATTGTGTCCGCGATCTTAAGACTGTCCGCATCGGACACCTTATAGTTGGGTTCGAGTAAAACGGTTGCATTCACTCCCCCGACACCGAAGTTGTTTACGCCAGCGATTCCTAACCCCAATACCCGAGTGTTAAAACAAGAGTTAACGTAAAACTAATACAAACCGGGAGTGTATTTCATTTTCTCAGTTATAGGCTGAAGTGGTGGACACAAGTCTCTTATACTGCTCTTAACAGTCTTCATATGAAGATTCGCGGGAATGCATTCATTTTCAAAAGCCAACAACACTTTAGCCATTGACGCCATACCCGACGCGCCCTCCGAGTGTCCGATATTGCTCTTAACGAGTCCTATGGGTAGCACTCCTTCACGTTTAGGTTTATAGCAGAAGGCATTGTAAATGGCTTTGGCTTCGAGGGGGTCGCCCACCTAAACACCCGTTTAGTGTTATTATTACTGATATTTGAAATATTAATGTACCATATTCAATACCTTAGTGCCGGTGGCGTGCGCTTCAAAGTAGTTTACTTTCAAGGGATCAATACTGGCCTCACTGTACACCTGAACCATCAGTTCCTCCTGACTCTCGGCTGAGGGGAAGAACATTCCCATCCGTTTGTTGCCATCGATATTCACTCCAGAGTTCAAAACAGTGGCGTAAATACGCTTTGCATCCGATTTTCGTTGGAGTAAAATACACGACACCGTCTCTCCTCTCACAAACCCATCCGCCTTCTCGTCCCACACTTTCGGTATGCCTTCACTCGAGTTAAGTGATGTCGTCTGAAAGATCTGATTCGTGAACGGCTGAAGACACAGTTGGGTTCCACCGACTATCGCCTGACGACACTTGCCTTCAAAATAAAATATGGTAAATATTGTGGTCACATAAATGATTGCTTATACTGTAGTCATACCTAATCTCAGGTCATTCATAGCGGCGTTGAGTGCGACCAAACTGGAGGAACAGGCGGTGTCGATGATAAGTGACGGACCCTTGAAGTCAAACACAAATGAGATGCGGTTGGCGTACAGGCATTTGGCTGATCCGGGCAGCCATAACAGTGTGTCAAACAGATTATTCTGTGAGTCCGGCTGAACGTCTTCTGGCATACAGTCAGGCATTCCGAATGTGGAGAAACCGATGTATACACCGGTGTCTGACCCACGAAGCGATTGCGGATTCACACCTGTTGTGCAAAATCAATTTAACAAATGGTCTGATGGCCAGAGAAGTGGACAATCATTTGGCTTCGGCTGCTATTTATCCAATTGATGTCAACTATACTATTGCTCTCAAATCTATTGATGGCATTCACGACGACTATAGGAATAAGTCATTCAAACTGATGCAATGGAGTCCTAAACAAAACTCGTCGGACTTCCCCACGGATTACGTCTCACCGACTGATCTGTTGATTGTAAAAGACTCGTATGAGTTGTGGGCTTTGGATTTGGAAAGTCATTTGCAATATATCGTCGACGTTGTGGTGAATAAAGGCTTTTTGATGGCTGTATTTCGGTATAAATTCACAAAACCTGAGCAAACATTGAATGCAATGAATGGAAAGCTTGAAAACACAAACTTAGAGAAGAGAATTGTTGACTACATAACAGTCGCCCAAACTATGGGTTTATCATTGATTGGCAAAAAGTATGATACAATCGGCTCAATGTGTCTGCTATTTAGAAAAGTTACTTTTACGCCAAATAATCCAAAAGTGGATCAAATAATTGAGATTAAATCCGATTGTAAGCAATGGTTTGATAAATTGAAACAAAAACTTGAGGACAATATGTCTGAAGACACGATTGCGGACAATGTTTGGTTGATCGCAAACGATAAAGACAACGGTGTTGTGGGACTTGTTAATTGTCTTCGTCTGGAACCGGGAGGCGATCGGATCCGCTGTATATTTGATTGCAATCATCTCTTCAATCAAATTGACTTTAATTCCAAACCTTTTTCACAAATTTTGAGCAACGATTTGGCGATTAATGTCCTCCGAAACGGACAGTTAGGCACTTATAGACACTTAACTTTGCCTAAGAATTACGACAAGACTCTGTCCAATGAATATTATTTAAATATCGGCCAAAATAGGGACATATCTAGCCTTCAGTGGTTTGATAAGAGGAATATGAGTGATAAGATAGAGGGATATAATTTGGACAATAAACCAGTAAAGTATATGAAGTGCAATATTTATAGCTCTGGTATCAACTTTCGCGATGTTATGTTCGCAACCGGTATTTATTTTACTTATATATTATTGTTTGATTGCTTTGTAATTATACCCTAATTGTTAGGTCGGATAACGTCGGGTCCGTTGAGTCTAATTATCGACTGTTTGATTGGCTTTGAATTTGCGGGCCGTTTGAAAGAGACTGGAGAAAGGGTTTGCGGGTTTGATATGAGTCGTTGTTTTGCCACAAGTATTAATGCTATGAATACAATGGTATCAAAAATACCCGACAACTGGTCGATGGACGACGCGGTCACTATTCTGTCCACTTATAGCACTGTATGGTATGGACTCATAGAGAGGGCTATATTGAGACAAAGTATACGAATGTATTTTATATAATTTTGTACATTTTATAACAATTATATATTTTTAGACGAAAAAGTGTTAATACATTCTGCGGCCGGAGGTGTGGGTCAGGCGGCTGTCAATATTTGCAAGTATTATAACTGCGATATCTTCGTTACGGTCGGCACTGAAGATAAGAAAAAGTTTTTGATGAATGAATACAATATCCCGGAGAACAGAATATTCAGTTCGAGAGATATTCAGTTTAAGTACAAAATTAAATCACTAACGGATGGAAAGGGAGTCGATATTGTCCTCAACTCTCTGACCGGCGATAAACTGGAGGCCAGTTATGAATGCGTTGCCGATTGCGGCCGCTTTGTAGAGATCGGCAAATATGACCTCCAAATGAACAAACAGTTGGGAATGTTTGCTTTCTTGAGAGACATCTCATTCATCGGCGTATCTGTTGATCAAAAATTGTTTCTATCGGAGGGTTATATACAAAAGTGGTGGCAATGGATGCACGAGAACTCCAATAACGGAATGATTAAACCAATCAATAGAACCGTATATAAAGCCGAAGACGTGGAGAAAGCGTTTAGATATATGACAACCGGTAAACACATCGGAAAGATTGTCATCAAAATCAGAGACGAAGAGCCAAAGGATACAAAAGTTTTCAATCCTTCAGCTTTTCTCTCGTCGACTGTTAAAACATATTTCGATTCAAACAAAAGCTATATAATAACGGGTGGTTTGGGAGGCTTTGGGCTAGAGTTGGCTCATTGGATGATAGCATTGGGGGCCAGAAATCTGGTGTTGACGTCGAGATATGGAGTCACAAGTGATTATCAAAAGTTTGTGTTTAAGAGAATTGAATCGTTGAGCGATAGGTTTAAAACGTTTGGCACAAACATTACTGTTTGGACCAAAAGTACGGAATCTCTCGAAAACACAAAACTTTTGGTTAAAGAGGCCAACAGTTTGGCCCCAATTGCAGGCATTTTTCACTTATCAGTAGTGATTAACGATTGTCTGTATAGTAATCATAATATCGATGAATATATCGAGACAATTGATTCCAAGACTAAAACATTTGTAAATTTGGATCAAATCACTCGAGAATCGGCTATAGATTTAGACTATTTTGTGGTCTTTTCATCTGTAAGTTGTGGTAAAGGAAACGCCGGGCAATCAAACTATGGTTTCGCGAACTCTGTTTGTGAACGCATTTGTGAGTCCAGACGAAGAGATGGTTTACACGGTTTGGCCATTCAATGGGGACCTATCGGTGATGTGGGAGTACTGGCGGACACCGATATTGTCAGCCCATTGGCCGGAATTGTGAAACAACGGATCAATTCTTGTTTAGATATTTTGGATAAATTACTTCAAACAAAACATTCAATTGTGTCGTGTATTGTGAGCACAATATTTTTATCAGATATAATAATTTTAAAAAACTGTATATTTTAATTAAAAATATTTGTTTCAAAACATTAGGTGAGAGCTAAACGTCAGACTCAGTCCGGTTCTCGTGAGTCCCGAATAGTGGCACAGATATGGCAGGCGCTAGGCATCGACCCGAAGACAACTCCCGATCACTTAACACTCGGGGAGATAGGAATGGAGTCTATGTTTGCGGTTGAGTTACAGCAGGGGTTGGAAAGAGATTACGACATCAAAGTGTCGTTGAATGACATCAAGAATGTGACCATAAGAATGGTTAAGGAGTTCGAAGCGGGGAAGACGTCTGAATTGAAACTGTTTACGGAAGAGCTGCGCGACTGTCGCTCAAAGTTAAGTAAAATCAAGTTTTAAGAGAATTGCAACATTTATTATTGCTATACATATGTGTTATTACTTTGATTTCTTTTTTAACTTTTTACTATAATTATATAAACGAAATAAACAAATATTGAATGAATAAGTGAATGAGAGAGAGAGAGAGGAGGGAATCGGTCGACAGAAAAGATAGTATAGAAAAGGATGGAAACAAATAAATTGTATCATTAATAGTGGGAGAGTTCCAGTGCCTGACGTAACCATATATTTACTTCTAACATACAAAACAATAATTATATTTTAATTTCTGTTTGTCCTTCAAATCGGATGCGATTTTTACGCTTGAATACAAAAGCAAAGGGTTTATAAAGCTATCAATTGTTGTCCAATATATTTCATGTTTGCTATAATTAGATAAAAATAGAAAATCAATTGTTTTATTCAACTCTATTTTGAGTTTATATTGAGTGCAAATAATCTAATTTATTGGGGTATTATTTTTAATGTAAAACTTTCCGATAATTTTTTATAATTCAATTATATTGATAATAAGCCAATAAATAAAATCAAAACAAATTTCTTAGAAAGTATTAAACATTAACGGATTTTACAAAATAAAACCGATTAAAATTTAGATTAAATGATATGACAACAAAATGTTTGTTTTGTAACTGCTTTTAATTTTTATTCAACAAATAATGATTATTATTTAACTAAAAAAAGTTATAAAATTTAATTTTACGATACAATAAATATGTTATATTTCCAAGAATTAGTTAATGTGCGAAATATAATAGCTTTTAATATAGACATAATTTATATTTAATTAGTATTCAATTCACGGCTTAATGGCGTAAATCTATACAAACAACTAATTGACAATATTTTGAGCAATAAATGCATGTAATTATAATACTTTAAAAGTTGTCAATGTTTTGTGTTTTCCGTAAAAAAAAATCAAATATTTTTTTATTGTTGTGTTGAGAATAAGTGATCCGTTGATTGTTTCCATTGAAAATGACTATTTTGGGAAATACTTAATTTCATTCATATTTGTGTTTCAATTATATTCAATATTTAAATATTATTCATTACTATAATTATATGCTTCATTAATTCAATTGAAATAGATGATATAATTGATTTTGAAAATTATATAAAAGTACAGTACTATCCAGGTAATTTTTTGCAAAGTTGCTATTATAATAAAATTACTATTATAATGCAACAAGCATATAATTTATAAAATTAACATTACTACAACAAATTTAATATTTAATGATAGTTAATATTTAGCATTTAGTTAATCCAATTCCCGTTGGGTTTATTTAATCATTAAAATTCAATATTATTAATATAGACTTTCCTTATAGACATTAATATACTGTATGTGTTTTACATAAAAAAGTTTGACTATTAAATATTTAAAATTTTATTGATATATGAAATAAAATTTAATTTGATTCTTAGAAATTTAGATCCAAGAATCCAAGAATAGACAACATTTGCAGTTTTTGTCAATTAATCAAAATGCAAATATTAATTATTTTATTAATATTGAATATTCATTAACTAATATATCAATATTTTATTAATTTTTAATAAATTTCTAAAATCGAATTTGGCCTTGATTATTTGCATAGTTACATAGATATAAAAGTACTAATATTTGAATTCATTGTTTATTTTAAATATATTTAACAAACAATTGATGCAAATCTAAATATACATTAAACATTACACATATATTAGCAGTCCATTCACTCAACACTTTAATGATCTCTTAAGGCTTTAGTTGTTTATTATATAATATGAAAGACATTAATAAGTCATTTGCACTATAATTGTGTCGACAATAATGTAAAGAGATTAAACATTTTGTAACCGATAAATAAAAAATTAGGTTTAAAAACACAAAAATAAAAAGATTGATAATTAAAATTCTTCATTAAAATGAGGGTTAAAATCATTTATATAATTGTTAAAAAAAATACTCTCTCTTTCCCTCCCTCTTACTCTCTCATTCACTTATTCATTCAATATTTGTTTATTTCGTTTATATAATTATAGTAAAAAGTTAAAAAAGAAATCAAAGTAATAACACATATGTATAGCAATAATAAATGTTGCAATTCTCTCATTTGGCCAAAAATGCATTAATAGATTCTGCGATCTTATCAAACGTTTGAGAGAATTCTCTTTCGCCATGAGTTGAGTCCACGGTTTGAAAGTTGAGTTTCCCCTCCAATCCCTTCAATACAACATTTTAGACATGAGTTTCAAGTTTGCAACAAAAATCAAATCAAATAATTAGTATTATAATCATTATATCATATAAGACCATAATTACCTTCTCGGGCAAGAAATAGGCGTTTTTAATCTTCTCAATTTCATCCAAATTGATTTCGTCAACGTTTGATGTTTTCGATGGCTTTATAATCAATAGTTTTCCACTCATTTCCAAATATTTCTTTCCGATATTTACTTTCAATTTTGAAAACTTATTCTTCAGATTAATCCTATAATTGGAGAACAGTTTCACTCTTTGGTGAGAATTCAGCAGAATTTCCTCCAAATCTCGACTGACGAGTGATTTTCCCACAAACTCTTTGAGTTCATCACTGATTTTGACGAGCTTTGACTTCACGTCGGGCTTTAAATTGCAGTCTCTCTTGAGTTTGTCTCTCACTACTAGTGGTAAATCTTTAGCAATAAATGCGATAATCAATTCCATTATGTACTCATCGGTCATCACCTCTTCGTCCATCTTTATCTCAGACAACATATCAATGATGACAGCTTTGCCTATCGGCGCCTTCTTCAGCATATTTATGGCAATCAATGCGCCGTAAAAGTGGCCAAAGATGTCGTAATCGCCTTTCGGGTGCAGAGTCTTCAGTAAATTCGTATAATAAACGCTCAGCTCTTTGAGTGACATTTTTTCCAAGTGTTTGGTCCAATTGAGACCAATTACTGGTCTGTCAATCATAGCGGCCAACGCTTCCAGCGACGAGAATATGCCCTCAAGAGGTGGCAAGAAATATATGGGTCGACCCGTCTTCGCGCCATTGAGTCGAGTATAGCTTTCAGTCGGTATCAAAAACTTGATTTTACTTAACTTTGAGCGACAGTCGCGCAGCTCTTCCGTAAACAGTTTCAATTCAGACGTCTTCCCCGCTTCGAACTCCTTAACCATTCTTATGGTCACATTCTTGATGTCATTCAATGACACTTTGATGTCGTAATCCCTTTCCAACCCCTGCTGTAACTCAACCGCAAACATAGACTCCATACCGATCTCCCCGAGTGTCAAGTGATCGGGAGTTGTCTTCGGGTCGATGCCTAACGCCTGCCATATCTGTGCCACTATTCGGGACTCACGAGAACCGGACTGAGTCTGACGTTTAGCTCTCACCTAATGTTATAAAACAAATATTTTTGATTGAAAAATATGCTGTTTTTTAAAATTATTATTAAAATATTGTACTCACAATACACGACACAATTGAATGTTTTGTTTGAAGTAATTTATCCAAAATATCTAAACAAGAATTGATCCGTTGTTTCACAATTCCGGCCAATGGACTGACAATATCGGTGTCCGCCAGTACTCCCACATCACCGATAGGTCCCCATTGAATGGCTAAACCGTGTAAACCATCTCTTCGTCTGGACTCACAAATGCGTTCACAAACAGAATTCGCAAAACCATAGTTTGATTGCCCGGCGTTTCCTTTACCACAACTTACAGATGAAAAGACTACAAAATAGTCTAAATCTATGGCCAATTCTCGAGTGATTTGATCCAAATTTACAAATGTTTTAGTCTTGGAGTCAATTGTCTCGATATATTCATCGATGTTATGATTACTATACAGACAATCGTTAATCACTACTGATAAGTGAAAAATGCCTGCAATTGGGGCCAAATTGTTGGCCTCTTTAAGCAAAAGTTTTGTGTTTTCGAGAGATTCGGTACTTTTGGTCCAAACAGTAATGTTTGTGCCAAACGTTTTAAACCTATCGCTCAACGATTCAATTCTCTTAAACACAAACTTTTGATAATCACTTTTGACTCCATATCTTGACGTCAGCACCAGATTTCTGGCCCCCAATGCTATCATCCAATGAGCCAACTCTAGCCCAAAGCCTCCCAAACCACCCGTTATTATATAGCTTTTGTTTGAATCGAAATATGTTTTAACAGTCGACGAGAGAACAGCAGAAGGATTGAAAACTTTTGTATCCTTTGGCTCTTCGTCTCTGATTCTGATGACAATCTTTCCGATGTGTTTACCGGTTGTCATATATCTAAACGCTTTCTCCACGTCTTCGGCTTTATATACGGTTCTATTGATTGGTTTAATCATTCCGTTATTGGAGTTCTCGTGCATCCATTGCCACCACTTTTGTATATAACCCTCCGATAGAAACAATTTTTGATCAACAGATACGCCGATGAATGAGATGTCTCTCAAGAAAGCAAACATTCCCAACTGTTTGTTCATTTGGAGGTCATATTTGCCGATCTCTACAAAGCGGCCGCAATCGGCAACGCATTCATAACTGGCCTCCAGTTTATCGCCGGTCAGAGAGTTGAGGACAATATCGACTCCCTTTCCATCCGTTAGTGATTTAATTTTGTACTTAAACTGAATATCTCTCGAACTGAATATTCTGTTCTCCGGGATATTGTATTCATTCATCAAAAACTTTTTCTTATCTTCAGTGCCGACCGTAACGAAGATATCGCAGTTATAATACTTGCAAATATTGACAGCCGCCTGACCCACACCTCCGGCCGCAGAATGTATTAACACTTTTTCGTCTAAAAAATATAATTGTTATAAAATGTACAAAATTATATAAAATACATTCGTATACTTTGTCTCAATATAGCCCTCTCTATGAGTCCATACCATACAGTGCTATAAGTGGAGAGAATAGTGACCGCGTCGTCCATCGACCAGTTGTTGGGTATTTTTGATACCATTGTATTCATAGCATTAATACTTGAGGCAAAACAACGACTCATATCAAACCCGCAAACCCTTTCTCCGGTCTCTTTCAAACGGCCCGCAAATTCAAAGCCAATCAAACAGTCAATAATTAGACTCAACGGACCCGAAGTTATCCGACCTAACAATGAGGGCATAATTACACAGCAATCAAACACTAATATAAAGTAAAATAAGTAAAATAAATACCGGTTGCAAACATAACATCGCGAAAGTTGATACCAGAGCTATAAATATTGCACTTCACATACTTTACTGGTTTATTGTCCAAATTATATCCCTCTATCTTATCACTCATATTCCTCTTATCAAACCACTGAAGGCTAGATATGTCCCGATTTTGGCCGATATTTAAATAGTATTCGTTGGACAGAGTCTTGTCGTAATTCTTAGGCAAAGTTAAGTGTCTATAAGTGCCTAACTGTCCGTTTCGGAGGACATTAATCGCCAAATCGTTGCTCAAAATTTGTGAAAAAGGTTTGGAATTAAAGTCAATTTGATTGAAGAGATGATTGCAATCAAATATACAGCGGATTCGATCGCCTCCCGGTTCCAGACGAAGACAATTAACAAGTCCCACAACACCGTTGCTGTCGCCGTCGTTTGCGATCAACCAAACATTGTCCGCAATCGTGTCTTCAGACATATTGTCCTCCAGTTTTTGTTTCAATTTATCAAACCATTGCTTACAATCGGATTTAATCTCAATTATTTGATCCACTTTTGGATTATTTGGCGTAAAAGTAATCTTTCTAAATAGCAGACACATTGAGCCAATTGTATCATACTTTTTGCCAATCAATGATAAACCCATAGTTTGGGCGACTGTTATGTAGTCAACAATTCTCTTCTCTAAGTTTGTGTTTTCAAGTTTTCCATTCATTGCATTCAATGTTTGCTCAGGTTTTGTGAATTTATACCGAAATATAGCCATCAAAAAGCCTTTATTCACCACAACGTCGACCATATATTGCAAATGACTTTCCAAATCCAAAGACCACAACTCATACGAGTCTTTTACAATCAACAGATCAGTCGGTGAGACGTAATCCATGGGAAAGTCCGACGAGTTTTGTTTAGGACTCCATTGCATCAGTTTGAATGACTTATTCCTATAGTCGTCGTGAATGCCATCAATAGATTTGAGAGCAATAGTATAGTTGACATCAATTGGATAAATAGCAGCCGAAGCCAAATGATTGTCCACTTCTCTGGCCATCAGACCATTTGTTAAATTGATTT